CCCCTCCCCAAGCCCATGACATTGTGTGGGGCTGGTGTGACCCAAGGGCAGGACCCGGCATTTGGCCTTGTTGAACCCCATACAGTTGGCCTCAGCCCATCGATCCAGCCTGTCCAGATCCCTCTGCAGAGCCTTCCTACCCTCGAGCAGATCAACACTCCTGCCCAGCTTGGTGTCATCTGCAAGCTGACGCCAAGCAATCCCCTCGTCCACGTCATTGATAAAGATGTTAAACAGAACTGGCCCCAGTACTGAGCCCTGTGGAACACCACTTGTGACTGGCTGCCAACTGGATTTAACTCCATTCACCACAGTTCTTCGGACCCAGCCATCCGGCCAGTTTTTCATCCAGCGAAGGGAACGCCCATCCAAGCCACGAGCAGCCAGTTCTCCAGGAGAATGCTGTGGGAAATGGTGTCAAAGGCTTTGCTGAAAGTCTACGCAGACGACATCGACAGCCTTTCCCTCACCCAGTAAGCAGGTCACGTTATCACAGAAGGAGATCAGGTTACTCAAGCAGGACCTGCCTTTCATAAACCCATGCTGACCCGGCCTGATCTCCTGGTTGCCCCGTCTGTGCTGTGTGATGGCACTCAAGATGATCTGCTCCAGAATGTCCCCGGCACCAAGGTCAGGCTGACAGGCCTGCAGCTCCCAGGTCCTCTTTCTGGCCCTTCTTGTAGGTGGGCATCACATCTGCTAACCTCCAGCCCACTGGGACCTCCCCAGTTAGCCAGGACTGCTGATAAACGATTGAAAGTGGCTTGGTGAGCACTTCCACCAGCTCCCTCGGTACCCTGGGGTCTTGGGGACCCTCCATCATCCTCACTGCCTGGATGGGGTCCTTCTTGCACAAGATCCTCTTCCTCGTGAGGAAGAGAAGGAGCATTTTCTCCATTTTTTGGAAGGGTAGATTAAGCAGCAGGAGAGTAGTTGCTGAGTACACCAACGTGCAGATCTGCCAACTTCGGCCTTTTCTCCCACCTCCAAGACACCGACAGATGCATGGTAGCTACTGTCTGAGAGATTTGGAGTTAGACTTGTTAGAGGATGTGTTTTTTGAGAGCGACAAAAAGATTGTTTACATTTATGTACAAAATGAATACGCAGCAACACAGCAGTGAAAAACCCCACCCTGGACACGGACTGGAGAGCAGAGTTGTTTGCCAGGACCTGTGAAAGAGGCGCCCTGCTGAAGTGACCCAGCCCAGCAGCGACAGAGCTGGGGATGCCCAAGGTCCCCTTGTTCTGCCTCCCACCAAGCGCAGCACAGGGAACTGCTGCGGGTCGGTTAATCCGCACTTTTTATTGTGTTGTACTCCATGCAATATGTTCATGTTTTATAGTATGACAGAGGGAGGGATAAAGATAAATGTTAGACATAAACAAAAGCAGAAAGGTCATTTGTAACAGGTCCTGAGAAGGAAAGGCACATCGTAACCACTGAATTCAACAGAATGGAAACCTCAGTCAGAGGAAGACAACGCTGGAAAGCAGACAAGGGATGGGGGTGTTTCAAGTTGGGTGACGTGGAAGCAGGCTTGACAGCAACCTGCATTTCCCCACCCACCAAGGTCTGCAGTTCAAATGGGTTTGGGGACCTCAATATTCAACCAAACCACTTCCACGCTCCCATTGCCGCAGAGCGTCCAGGATCCCCAACTCCTCCAGGCTTAGTCAGCACCAAGGGGCAGTGCAGGACTCAGAGCTCCTTCCTGCAGAGACGAGCTGGGAAAGGGCAGCTGGCGGAGAGGCGGGCGGGAGGGCTGCCCAGCGCCGAGGGACACCGAGCCATCTCCCACCCGGCAGCGCCAGATGACAGGAGCACCGTGGATCGTGGCATCGCTGGTGATCTGTGGGTATTGCTATTCGCTGACATCAAAGACCACAGGGAAGGGAAGGCTGGGGCGGAGGACGGGTACAGCAGTGAAATGGTTGGCACGGATGCTGGCACACGTCTCCGTCAGGTCAGACACCGGAGGGATTGCAGCACCTCGAAGGGAAGCAGCAGCAAAACCATGTGCTGTGCCTGATTTAAGGCAGCGATTGCCACTTATCATCCAGCACCGGGAAGCACAAGGTTCCTGCCAGAGCAGCACGAAGGGCTCCAGGGCTGGGCTTGGACGCTGGGACGCTGCCAGTGCAGCGACCACAGCACACCCTCCAGCGAGCCGCTCTCGTGCAGCAGACACGACGAGGTACTTCTGGGAACTGTCTCACAGTGGAAATGAGCCCAAAACCAGGGCAGAGGCTTGCAGCACAGGGCTCACGCTATTGCTCCCACGAGGCAACCAGGCACACATCTCTTCCAACAACCCAGCCCTGCTGCGACAAAGATACGACGGTGTCTTATCTTGGCTTGCAGGAGAGGAGACGGTTCAGCTTCACCTTGGCACCAAGAGCAGGGATGGTTCTGTCATCACTTGGCTGTAACAGAACCAGCCTTGCTCCTGTAACTGGATGTTGAAGTGTGTTTTGCACGTTAAAGAGTGAACGTTTAGCAGCCCAGATTTCTTCTTGAGCCTCTCTTCTTTAGTTCATCACCTGCGACCCTTTCCCAGTCCCTCCAAGCCATCCTGAAGGTCGCAGCCAGGCTGAAATAGGCAGCAAGAGGGAGAAGCACGAGGCAGCAGCAGGGCTGAGCCCGATGCTTCTGAGCAGCGCGAGCTGGAGCTGGGTCTGCCGCTGGACACAGGCCCCACCCCAGGCAGGCGGTGGACACGGGCAGGGGTCTCAGCCTGCGTTGTGGCAGGGCAGGGATGGAGTTTGGGAGGTTTTACTCAAACCCATGGGCAGAGGGCTGCGTTATGTCAGCAGCGGGCAGCCCACAAGCACAGGCAGGCAGCAGGGCTTCGCCTCGAGCTGGTGCCTGTGAGGAACAGCTCAGGGCCTCCCTGACTGAGATCAGGCACAGGGTCTCCATCTCCGACCGACCCAAGAGGAGAGCAGGCTGCAGGAGCTCTTGCCTTTGCCTCCGTGGACTTTGCACTGGGCTCTGGCAGAGGGCTGAGCTGCCTCTTGGCCAGGGCTTCGTTCAGTCCGTGGCACAGATTGTAAACTTTAGTCCCTGCTGAGAGATAAGCTGGGTCTAGGTTCAGGCTCCAGATGAAAGGCGCTTTCGCTCGCTCTGCCTGGCTGCAGCCCCCAGCAGCTGCTCGGGGCTGGCATGCCGACATCGCCATCTCCCCCACCACCGCCCAGCCCTGGGACACCACGGAATCCCAAGAGCTCAGGGGAAGATGCTCCGGGATCTTGCTCAGGCCCTGGCGAGCCTGGGCAAGGCAGGACAGGCAGCAAGCTGGAGCCAGGCAGTGCCTTGCCGTCACACGTTACCTCTGCATCTGACTGCGGCAACGCTGAGCTGTGCTACGAGGTCATCATCCGCGGAGGTAACAGCGCGACGCGAGGGTGCTCCTGCTGCTGGCTGGGGACCCCGCCATGCTGCCAGCACCCTGGGCGTGGAGCTGCGAGGAGGACAGTGGGCAGACGGGCAATGCCCTGAGCCAGGGCTTCTCTCCAAAGCCCGCAGGGAGAGGTGATCAGCATCCAGGCAGAGACAGGCAGCTCAAGCGTCGGGCCCTGGAGACGGGCCAGGTCCCAGAGGCCTTACCCCTGATGCCCTCAGGATGTGACGATGGCTCAGACCTTACAATCCGGGGTGCAGAGCTGGTGCCGAGGGAGATGGGGGGAGCCTTCATCTTCAGCTGCAGGAAACCACCCTGGGGCCTCCTAAAGCATGGGACGTCCTCTCACTGCTTAGGCCAGGACTGGCTGAGGTGGCTGGCGTTCTTCTCCCGAGGAGGCTGTGTCCACACCAGCATGGCCGCCACCGACAGCAGGGAGCAGAGACAGGAGTGACAGCCTGTGGGGGTGTCACGTCGGGGCTATGTACAGAAGGCTGGGCTGGAGCTGGCATCTCTGGGGAGCAGCATCTGCAACTCAGCCGCCTTTCTTCCTCTGCACACTCACACAGCATATACTCTGCCGCAGCTCCTGCGGCCAAAGCCTGCTCCTCACACGGCTCCTGTCTCTAGGCTTGAAGGTGTCACCGTCCCAGCGTCCCCACAGCCAGTGCAGCAAAGGCCCTGAGGCAGCACCGTGGCCCACATGTTCTCACCCATGCCCCACGTGGGCTTGGGCAAAGCTCGGTGCCCAGCAGATGCTGCAGGGGATGAACCTGCTGGGAGGCTGGGGCTCCTCTAGCACCTCCCTCTGTCCCCCAAGGCTTCATCCACAGCATCTTCCCCAGCTGCCGGGAGGAAAGGGGGGCTGGTACCCCGCGACCACCCCTAACCAACATCTCCCAGCAAGTTCACAGCCGTCGCCAAGCGGCGGGGAGAGGTTGAGGTGCAGATCGAGTCATCCCCTGGTCTTGTGATGGAGTTTGGTGGGAAAATCATCCTCTTCCACCCCCTGGGAAGAAGAGCACCGGGGAGCACCAAGTGTGCCTGGAGCCAGCCTGGCCCAGGGGCCGTAGCCACGCTCCCACGTGGGCAGAGAGGAGGAGGTCGTGCCCACACTCATGCACCACATGGATGTGCTTAAAAAAAACAAAACCGAGTGTGGGCAGGGGGTTTCCTGAGACCGCAGAGAAGCGAAGGCCGCGTTGAACAGTCAGGGACAGGCGCGCTGGTGTCAGAGCAGTCCTGCCTTAAGGCTGCAAGTGTTCCAGGTACTGCGGCAGTGGGTTCTCCTTGACATATTTCTGAATGTACCAGCACGTCAGGTGAGCTTTCAGGTCCTCCTCCACCACGAAGTCCAGGGCTGCCTGCAACCAGCCAGAGAGGACAGATGGGTTACAGCCAGCACCCCCAGCCTACGCTCTCCTCTGAAACGTGCCGGGGGTCCCCCACATGCGCCTGGGGAAAATGGCAGGCTGCCCGCACGTACCCTCTGTGCGAGGCAGCTGCGGGCAGAGGGCTGGGGGAGAGCACGGCCATCCTGCCACAACATCCCCAATTTAACCAGAGGCGTGCAGGGACCCCCCAGGCAACCCTCAACACACCCAGTCTGGTGGATGCTGCACTGCAGGAGACCCAGCCACATCACATGAAGGCCACCAAGTCACCCATCTGCCCTGGCTTACAGGGCAGGGAGCAGCTGTAACACCAAAGCATCACTCTGCAGTCCCCCCCACCACTGTGCTCGTGGCTCCTCAGCTTTCACTGCACAGCTGCGGGCTTCAAAAGCAAGGCTGAAGGGCTCATGAGGGCCTTGAAGCCTTCAATGTCTGACCACAGATTTGCATCCATCCTACCAGCCGCCCCCTGTCTCCCATCAGAGCGGGGGTGGTTCCCGTGGGGCACACAGTGCCAATGTGATGGGGCCTGGCTTTGGCCAGGGTCTCTCACCACGACCAGGATGGTGACAGCTCCCGCCCAGGGTAAAAGGGATGGCTGGGGCCGTACCTTTGCGAGGTGCTTGGCTATTCCTCTCCCTCGATAGGCATCCGGTACCTCCGTGTGCTGCAAGTCCACGATCCGCTTCCCCACATATTCATAGAGCAGCACCGCCTTGTCGTGGCAACCTGGGGGATGCGAGAGAGGGGTGAGGCTCGGAACGTCCCCGGGGACCCCTGGCTCCCAGCCCACCGTTGGATGGAGCCGTTCACCGGGGAGCCCACAGCACAGGACAGGCAGCTTTGGGACTGCCCTGGCACGGCTCCCTGCACCCACAGGAAGGGCTGTAGTGCTGGGTGGCCTCACATAGGAAAGTCTCAGCAGAGATTTTCCTTTCACTGACGTTTGGACATCCCTGCTGGTCCCCCGGAGGTGCCAGCTGAGGAGGATCTGCTTGGCTTTTCCAAGCTCCTTCACTTTTTCTATCCAGCCCTGAATCAAGGGCCGATGTGCCAACGCAACAGTGTTTAGGGCAGGAGAGCAGCTGGCGGGGAGGGGTGACGGGGGAGTGAGAAGGGGGATGCACAGGACAAAGCTGACCTGGGTAACGGCGAATTCCTTCCTCTCTGAAGCACAGAGTTTTTTGTCACGGCATTTAAAATGGGACAAGACTTCCTGGCCTGGTGTTGCAGTGTTTGGACAGACACATTGTGGGGAAGATGCTGGGAGAGATGAATTCCACAGACACCCAGGAACGCGTGGGCAGGCGTGCAGGGGGGTTTGCGCACACACATTTACATGCGCACACACACAGAGGCTTCCTGTTTGTGACACCCTGACCTTTCTCACAGCAGTTCAGTTGGAGGAGAAAAGAAGTTTCAGCACACGTGTAAATCGGAGGAGAGCTAATAACACCCCTCCAGCTTTGCCTGCAGAACCCGAGCTTCTGTCTTCAATGCAAAAGCAAACATTTCATTTCTAGAGGGTTTCTGTATTCAAAAGTGAGTTTCAGAAAGCTCCCAGTCAAAGAGACAAGCTCAATTAAAATAATGGAAACCTTTCCTTTCCCTCCAGTGGTTATCGGAGAGTGAAGGGCTGCAAAGTTCACCTGCATTTACCATAGGCTTTAGCTGAGCTCAGTACACTTGATTGCATTTCAGCTGAAAACTCCAGCCCAGTTCCCCTGATCCCTGTATTTGAGGGGCACTAGAAATGAGCCCATTTCAATTTTGTGTTTCAAAATAAGCAGCTCAAGTTTTTGTTCTTTCTTCTTTTAGGCAGAGACTCCATCCTCCTGCATCGGGTGGAACCCTTCATGTTTCCAGCCTGAGTTTATTCCTGCTTGTTTCTACCCGCTCGTTCTTGTGCCAACATTGTTCTTGGGTGGACATAAATAATTCTCCTCCCTGCGACTCCCCCCCTCCCTGAGTATTTACAGGCATCAGTCCTGCCCCCTTAGCCTCTAGTTCGACAGAAAGCCAAGCTCCTTCAGTCTCCCTGCAGACCCCAGACTCCCCGCGCTGTCTCAGGCCAGAGGGTTTGGGGTGAACCACTGGGATGGGCAGAGGTAACGGGGTGGGGAAGGGGCTGATGGGGTGCTCGCCTCTTTCCCGTTAGCAAGACCAGCGCAGATGAGATCCTATAGCAGCAAAAAAAAACCAAAAAACAAAACCCAACAGATTTTACAGCTGCAAATCTCTGAGGGGGGGGGAAAAAGGAGAACCACAGCATTTCCCCATGTGGATGCAGGCACCCCAAAAAAGCCAAGAGCCAAGGGAGCAGCTGCGAGCCCAGCTCTTCCCCAGAAGCACAGAGAAAGCCTGCCCAGGTCAGGGCTCAGCCAAAGCCGGGTGCTCTCACCCTCACATCAGAAGCAACACGTTCAGCAGCACCTCTCTCAGAGGTACTGTTGGCAGAGCTGGCAGAACCAAAGGCTGTAAAATGCTCTTATAAAACGGCGGCTTTCACATGCTCTGGACCTTCCACTCTGCTCTCGCAGGCCAAAACTTTCCGTAGGCTCTCCCTGAAGTTTTGATAAGTTCAGAATTAAATCCTCCTCCAAGTGATGACATAGCAAGATTGTTGGGTTCTTTAAAAAATATACTTTTATACCTTAAATTTATATATATATGATCCGTACAGAAGTATCACCCACAAAAATACATTTTAAAGTGGAAGATGATGCAGCATTTGAAGAGTCTCAGATGTGCCCTGGATAGACTTTCCCTCCATCTTCGCTGCATCACAGCAGCGCTGCAAAACCCCAGCCGGGACGGGAGCTGCAGGGTGCTGCCAGCGTACAGACGACCAGACGCAGAGCCCAGAGGGTTTTACAGCCGGTTCTGCCGAGAAACCCAGTGCCACCAACACTGTGGGAAACTGGTCCCAGTTCAGAAAAACATCCCAAGTAAAGTACATAAGTGCATCTGCACGTGCTCACCTCGGTGATGGCACCCTGAGCCACCCAGCACATGAAATTAGGGACGCTCGTGCCACAGGGTTTGGTGTGGACCCTGCAGGTGACGCCGACGGCTTGGGAGGAGATTGCTGCTGCGTCCCCACTCCTGCGCAGCCCCAGGGCTGGGCTACGCCGAGCACCTCCTGGTCGCCTGTCTCCGGCTGCCCGCTGCGGGATGGGGGGTGACGCAGAGCCGCAGACGGGGCTGCGAAAG